CGGCGCCTGAGCGACCTGCGAGTGATCGACCTGCGGGCCGAGCTGAAGCGCCGCAACCTGGACAGCGGCGGCAACAAGAGCGTCCTCCTCGAGCGGCTGCGCAGCGTGAGCTTCCCGGCCGCCGCGGGGCGAAGGAGCGGGGAGCGCGGGGCCACGGACTACAGCGCCCATGGGGAGCAGCCCCAGGAGGGCAGGATTTACGGCAGCCTTCCAGAGATTACAACTCCCATCAGCCGCCCTTGGGGATGATGGGAATGGAAGTCCTGCCTCTCTGGAGAGTGGGATTTACGGCAGCCTTCCAGAGATTACAATTCCCATCAGCCGGCCATGGGGATGATGGGAATGGAAGTCCTTTCTCGCTGGAGGAAAGGATTAAGGCAGCCTCACAGCACTTGACAGCCCTCTGCAGAATAGACTACAACTCCCATTGTTAGCCAGCTGGTTGGAGTTGAGGGCCATTGAAGTCCAGTCTCCCTGGAGGGCAGGATTCAAGACAGTGTTGCCCCAACTTGCTGGCCTTCCAGGAATGAGAAATTACAACTCCCATCGGCCACCTTTGGGGGATGATGGGAATTGAATCCGCTCTCTAGAGGACAGGGTTCAAGCTAGCCTTGCCCAAACCCAGTGCCTTCCAGAGGGGGCTGTAACTCCCACCCTCAGCCTTTTCGCTGAGAGTGATGGTTGGCAGCACCCAATCCAAAGCCACTGGGTTGGGGTGGGCTGATAAAACCAAAAGAGCGAGGTGATTTGAGGAGAACCCAAGATGGGTGGGGAGAGCTCAGTGGGAATGCAACACAGAAGTCCTTTTGGTTCAGCACTCTTGATTCTGTTGGAAAGCCCTTGGGTATCATAGCCTTCCCTTATTCCCAGCAGTTAGTGATGTGTGGTAGGATTGGCAGTGCATATAGTAGGAGACCAATTTTGTAATCATGATAAAACTCCCTAAGGAGAGTTCAGCTGGATCGAGCAAAAGGCTCTTGTTTCCTGGCATCCTGTTTTCTGCAAGGTCTCTGGGAAGACTCCAAGTAGGATACAAATGCTTAGCACTTCCCAGCTCATATTTTCAGCAGCTAGCATTCAGGGGCATTTGGAAGTTGTTATGCCCTCCCCTGCGATAACCTTAACATCCATGAATTTGAGTATTTTTTCTCTGCCTTCAATTTTGCATCATTTTAGTTTCATTGGATGATCTTGCCTTCTGGTACTGTGAAACTCATGGAGGAAAAGGCTTATCAGATGCAATTAAGAATCTTGTAACTTAGAGATGAATAAACTCATTATAGCATAGGCTTTCTAAATTCATTACTCTTCAAAAGGCTACATGGTCATTCATATGAAGGTTGTCAAAAACTACAGATCAGTAGCCTCCAGAATCAGAGGCATTCTACTCCTGAATACTATTTTCAGGGTAGGGTACCCCTAAATCCAAGGTTAAAAGGTGGGCACTGAGAGTGGTGATTGATTTAACTGGCTCCACTGAGCAACAGCAGTAGGTAACTAGTTAAAATAAGGAATGGATCCTGAAAAGAATGGAATGTTTAAAATTTCTGTTCTGTTTTTGATGTTTGTTTTGCTATAGCTTAAATATATTCTGATCCCGTTGCTTTCAGTGGCTATTTATCCCTTGTTTTAATATATCCCTGAGGAGCAACAACTGTTATGAATGTGATCACTATAGTCCCAGTGGATGTTTGATCCAATTCAGCAGAGTTCACGTGAGAATAAGGAGATTTTGAGATGAAGGAGGAGAATTGTTATAGATAAGGTGATGGGAGAGTTAAGGTTTAAATGGAAAATGTGATTGTGAGAAGATTGAGGGCACGTCAGACAAATAAATGGGATTGAAGGATGAAAGGAAAGTTAGAAGCAGCAGAAGATGGAGAAGAAACAGAAGGTGATGCATAGAGAAATAATAGAGAAATGGGACATGTAACAGTGAGAGGTTGAAGAATTTGAGGAAAAGAGGGATAGCTTAAAAAGGAGGAGTTAGGAAGAAGAAAACCAGGGCATTCTGCAGAGGAGAAGAAAGTACTAAGTGAGGGAAATAAGAAACGGAGGACTAGAAATAATTTATGTGGGAAATGATGGCTGGAATTGAAGTCCAGAAAGAGAGGAATAATGGGATGCTAGCACAATAAGCAAGAGTGAAAGGGAGATGAACAATAAGAGAAATGGGTAGGAGGAAATTGGGTGAGCTGAGACATAGAAAGGGAGAATGATTAGACTTTACAATAAAGTTACTTGCTTATTTGGAAAAAGTTATATATTGCTCTATTCCTTAATAGCTCTAAGTGCCATGTAAAGCAGTCATGACAGTAAAAGGAGAAAATCTAAAAAGCTGATGTGGAAAAACAAAGGAAGACAAAAAGGCACATGGAAGGCATATATTTCATAACTTTTCATAACTTTTAACTGTATTTATGTTTTTTAGTATGTTGTAAG